GCAGCATGTTGTTCCTATGCGCAAGACTCCAACCATTCTTCAGCAAACGACCTAATGACAGTAATGGGGCATCCACATCCGGCGCGTGAAAAACTTCTTGGGCACACGCCTGCCCCAAATCAAGTGTCACGAATCGACTGCCAAAATTTTGCATGATCCCACCTTGCGCATCCATCATTCTCACACTTGGGCCGCCTTCATTTCTGGTGCCGACTCCAGCCTCCAGCCATGCTCTAGGCATGACACTCAAATCAGCTCCTGAATCCAAAACAACTTGATGAAAACTGCCTTCCACCAAAGAACTTGCTGATGCTTGGGCATGCTGCTTCACTCCTCTGACCTGTGCACTTGACACCCATGCTTGGTCAGCCTCATACGCATCAAACATGGTTAGGTCGTGAACTTCACAGGCACTCAGCGGACACTCAATGACCTCCTGCTCTCCATCATTCATGTGGAGATCATAGTGCTGGACCATCCTACACCACCAATCTGAGGCAGCAACAGATTATACCTCCGAAGTATCACTCTCCATCTCATACACGGTGGTGAGGGGAACATTGTGCAAATCATTTTCCGCAAGATTGAAAACGCGCTTCACACTCGATGGGGCTGCTGAGGAAGTAGTAGAGGGAGTAGCAGAGGTAGTAGATGATGATGAGGGGGAAGAGTCATTATTGTCCTTCATCCAGCACTCGTTTCCCCAGTGACCATGCTTGCCGCAAATACGACACGCTTCTGGATGAAGTTTTCCCCCTCCTTGGCCTTTGCCCTTCTTCCCCTTCTCTCCCTTGCCCCAACTAGACTCCTTCCCTTTCCTTCTTTTCCTCCTTTTGGCTTGCCACCTTTGCTCCATGGCTTCACCCCACCATACTTGCCGCCACCCTTGTTGTCCGAATAGCCTTTTCCTTTTCCTTTGCTGTCTTTTCCCTTGCCTCCTTTGTACCCAGAGTTGTACTTGCCCTTGCCCTTGTCCTTGTCCCACTTGCCCTTGACCCTGTCCACATCCATGGGAGCAAGACCTCCATCATCATGATAAGGAGCTTTAGGATTAGGGACACCAGTGACAATCTGAGATGACCATTTCTGCGAGGATCTCTCCCAACGAAGGATAACTTCACGCATCTGATCATACGTAGATTCATCGTTGATTCGTTGATGCTCACAGTCAAGTGGGACTTCACATTTTGAGGCAAAACACGAAGCAAAAGAGCTGATTTGACCTCTTCAAACACCGGCTTGTTCGCTGCTTGCTCATATTTCTTGAAAAGATCCTCCATCTTCAACAACTGTTCGAGCAAGTTATCCTGGGACATGTTGGGGTACTGAGAAATCGCTCCTAGCAATGCCAATGCGCGTGTCTTGCTTGTTGGTGCCAACGTTGTGTGCAGAACCCTCCAAGCTTCGTATCCATTGTTTCCAGGGATGCTCTTCAACAATTGCAAAGGACGCTCCCTAAGCATGGTTGTCAAAATTGCATACAGCTGCTTCCCTTGGGAAATAGCATCATCTGTCATGGTTTCTT